CAAGGAGGAATTCACCTCCGTGGGAAGGTGGGAAACTGATAGGGCTCAGTAGAACAGGTGGGGGGGGGGGGCAAGTAAGTCCTCCTGCCTCCTTTCTTCCCGTTAACCACATGCTATTTCTGCAAGACCCTGGTGGACATTCTTTGGCTTACTTTCACTTTCTTATTTTTACGCTGGAGGGGCTGGGCAAGGAGCCACTTTCCTGCCTCTCTATTTCTCTTTGCTTGGGACATGGCTGATCTCCGCTCAAACGCTTTGATAATTGAAACCACTCCACCCTTCCCTCCTCCTCCCCTTTCCCCAGCTTCACCCCTCCATCCCTGCAGCTGCTGCTTTGGAAAAAAGCCCACAGTAGCTTGAATGTGAGGGGTGGGATGCTGATCAGGCAATCTGATTGCCCCCATTCCTACCACCTTTCGATTTTTCACCTACTCTCTGGTTTTTCCCTATCACCCCTCCATGCCTGCAGCTGCTGCTTTGCAAGAAAGCTGGGAATTCCCCCTCCTCTTTTTCCAGAAATGCCCACTGACAAATCCTCCCAGAAATAATCCAGCGGCAGGGAAGGGAGAATGAAAATGAAACCCACCATCAAACCAGGGTGTTCATTTTTCTTCTATCAGTCTATCATTCTATGCCAGCTCGATTTTCCACCCACTTTCTGGTTTTCCCCTATCACTAGTCACAGAGACGGGTTGGAGGGAGGCTATGGGTCGACTTAATGAAGGATTGCAACAGGCCAATAGGGTAATAATACCCATGATTGGTGTCAGGGGACCAGAACTGAAATATTGCAGGGGTTCACACCACAGGGACAAACCTGCAGCTAATTGCTTTCCAAAGTCAGCCTATTTGGCAGGGGTGAAATCCTCCCGGTTTGGCCCAGTTCAGCTGAACCAATAGAGACTATTTTCCTTGGTTCTGCAAATTGGTAATAAAAAAGAAGCTTTCGAAGATCACAGCTGATCCAAGCAATCATTGGAAGCTTTTTTTTCCACTTTTTAAAGCATTTATTTCCTGCCTATTTGCCTGAACCAGCAGGAAAAAATGCTTTTAAAAAGAGAAAAAAGTTGGCCGCGCCCACCCAGTCACATGACACCCCCCAACACCAAGCCACGCCCACTGAACTGGTATTCTGCTTATGGGCCAAATCATCTTGTGATACTTCAATGAAAAGAATAAAAATCAACTTGCAACCCCCACCCTTCTTGCTACACTCTAATGAGGCAAAGCAAGGAAATCTTTCCGCTTAAAGCAGCTTGCAAGAAGCAATCATTGGGATGTGGAGGTGGGGGGCAGTGACAGGGCTCAGTAGAAGGTGGGGAGAGCAAGCCCTCCTACCTCCTTACCGTTAACCACATGCTGTTTCTGCAAGACCCTGGTGGACATTCTTTGGCTTANAGGCTAGAAACAACACCAGAATGTTTCCTTCCTGCCTTCCTTACAGGATTAGCCCTGTAAACTGGGGAAAAAACAAAAGGGGATTTCTTCCAACAACTGGTTCTCCAAACTGCTTAGAAAGTTAACAACCGGTTCTCCCGAATAGATGCGAACCGGTTGAATCCCACCACTGGAGATAACCTACCTTATCATGCATGGAGGGTGACCAAGAATAAGTCTTTATTTGAACTTAAGTTCATTTTATCACATTCAGTACATTTGGAATGGGTGTGTGCATGCCTGAGTGTGTGTTTTTCCCACTCATTTTATTTCATAGGGCAAGGAAACAGATCCGAACAACGAGCGTAGATGACGGAACATTGAGGAAGTATTGGCAGGTCACTCTAGGTACACTGATGTTCGTTTGTGGTATCCCTTTTATCATCTGTTGAGGGAGCCTCACTTTATTCCCCCCCCCCCCAAACATGCTTATTTACTGTATTTTTCAGAATATAAGACGCATCTTTTTCCCTCAAAAGAGTGGCTGAAAAACTGGGTGCGTCTTATACACTGAATACAGCATATTTTGCCTCCCAAACCCCGCCCCCTTCACCAAAATGGCCATGCATAGCCTTTAGGAGCCTTGCAGAGTGCTCCTGGGGGCTGGGGAGGGCAGAAATGAGCGAAAAACAGGCCATTGTTTGCTCATTTTTGCCCCCCAGCCACCAGGAGCACTCTGCAAGGCTCCTAAAGGCTATGTATGTCCTTTTTAAAAAAAAACAATGGGCCCATTTTCACGAAAAATGGGCTGTTTTGGGGAAGTCTGCAGAATGCAAAAACTTGTATTTTTAATTTGCCTCTTCAAAATCCTGGTGCGTCTTATACTGCAATGCATCTTATACTCCAAAAAATACGGTACTTTTTATGGCAAAAGATAAAATACAAAACACAGAAACACACTTGCTTTTTCCAAAGGCAACTGACTGTTTTTAACTGTGCAGCCCAGAATCATTCATTTGAAAGGAATTCTGAATAAATGAATCAGGAATAAAATTGTGTAGAAGGAAGTTTTACCATCAATATTTCTTTACCTGTGAGCACAAGGGGACACAGTGCCTGAGACTGTTATTGATTTGGATGGGACAAAGCCCCCCCAGATGATAGCGTGGTAAGGGAGAGGCTGTGGAGAGAACACACACAGACACAAACAATATTAAAATTAATCTGAATTTTCCCGCGTTTTGCACCTTCAAGTTATCAGTCAGAATTTAGCAAGTTGGTGAATACAGGGTTTCAGTGGAGTGAAAAAATCAAAATGTCTGAAGCCATCACATAATCAAATCCAGGCTCTTTTTAATATGGATTTTCATTCACATAAAAAGGGGACAGAGCTTCTATTGCCATGTTGACTGTTTTGACCTCCTCCTGCGGACATCTTCCAGCTAAGTGTAGCCTTTTCCCCTGAGAAAGCACCAATGGTCCTTCCTGGCCATAGTTGTAAATGTCCACTGTTGGCCTTAGCCTCTGGCTGAATGTGATTGTCAGGACTGCCATCATTTGCTTGAGTTTCACTTTCGCTATCAGTCTGGGGGAGGGGAAGTCAAAAGAGATGGATTTGAATGCTTGGGGGAAAGTGAAACTAATGAAGCCAACTACTCATCCTATCATCCAGAGATACCAACTCAAGGTCAAAATTCTAGGAATGAAATGCAATGACTCACCAACCTGCCAGCTGTTGAAGTGACTGCTCCCAAAGCAATTTATTCAAATATATTTGGACAATATGGGACCAAGGAAGGAGAGGAACTGGATGGGGAAAGTTACAATGGGGGCCGCGTCCTCCACACAAATGCACGCAGTGTGCGCACACATGTGAACAGCATGTGCATGGTCTTACCATCCAACTGAGTGTCACGCAGGCACTGTACACGCTGTGCGCGTAAGCGCCAAAGAGTTTAAAGACAGGTAAGGAGCGAGGGCGGGCGGGTGGTACCCAGTGCTCCAGGCAGGCTCTGGTACGCCTGTACCGGGGTGTACCGCCTGCAGCCCACCACTGCAGAAATACCAACTCAAGGTCAAAACTCCGGGAATGGAATGCAATGACTCGCCAACTCACCTGTCGTTGAAGCAACTGTTCCCAAAAC